AAGAATGGATCGGTGAAAGCAGTAATGAAGGTGGCACTATCCGAATCTGCGGTAACAAGTCTGGAGTGGGAAAGCGTAGTATTGGATCGAATAGTTAGTGAAGTTTCATATATCGTTCAAACTACACAGAACAACTGGTCCTTCTTAAGAACAAAAAGTTGACTGGAAGTGTAACAAGTCAATAGAACCCTTTCTTTCAAAACGGAAAATATTGATTTTTAGCAACTATTTTACAGTCACTTTTTAATCTACTGCCTATTCGTATGAAATGCTGAGATATTTGCAAAACTCCGGACTACAGGTGTATGCAATGGAGAACGAACACACACTGTTGTCCTTACCGGGCAGCAGCGCACTTCACCACTACACCATCCGGGTCCTTCGCTTTGCGTGTATCTCAGCTAGTTCTATCGATCTTTTTTTGCCATCAGCAATCACCCGTCAACGGGATAGATCTGGGGAGCCAATATCGGCATATTATTTTTCACGGCAAAGCACTACGTGAAATACAACCACAATAATGCTGAATGATACAAAAACGTGGACCCAGCCCAGATTCGAACCTGCGATTACCCTTTCCGGAAGCTCACGTGTGGCCCAATACACCACGGAGGCTCTTGCTTTGCCATACTCTAAGCTATCCTTTTTTAGCCTAATGGTGCCATCGACAATCACCCGTCAACGTCATTACCGTTAACTGGCTTAGAGAAAGGGAAAACGAGAGCCTCCGTGGTGGTAATAAGTGAGCTCTCGGAAATCGCGGGTTTGAGTCTGGGTTATGGTACAAGTTTTCCAATCAACACAGCGTCGTTGTGGTGATATTTTACAGTACTTTTCATGAGTATGATCTTATTTAGATTGCACGACAAAACCTCGAAGATCGAACAGTACACCTTGTACGAAAAATCGGTAATGGAAGCACAGAGTTAAAGGTTAAAGATAAGGTAAGGTGTCATTTAGCTCCCGAATACTCTTGGCAAAATGAAAAAGAAACAAAGAGCTTTAAGAATGAGGCTTTGGACTAATTCATTTTACATTCCTACTTAGCAATATCACCAACCAATATTCAGACTATAACACTGGCATATGTTATTATGGAATGCTTACCTGGAAATCCAATACCCATTGTTGGAAATCTCCAAGGAGAAAAACAAACCATGAAAATAATTGAATACGGACTCCAGTTGTTGAAAGTAAGCGGTTACATTGGCTATACCAAGATGTTTCATGGTTGCAGAACGACCGCTTCGTGCAGTATTATGCATTTCGCGAAAAACGGAAAATTTCCCCCTTATGTTACTGTAAGAAAGGGACCTTGGTTATAAGCGGGATCTTTAGTCGAGTAGTCACTTTACCAAATGATGCCCTCATCACCACTAAAATCTAAGCGACTGGGTGCTCTTTCCCAGGACGTGAGCTTGAGTTGTAGCTTCTGAATAAGGGATAGAACGTCCGTGCATTCGACCTTATTCAGCATCATGAGAATGATTAGATTTGTCTTTGTACTACACAATGATATCTGGTAGGCTACTAATATACTGATTCGAAATATTTGTTTGCCCAAATAAGCATGCCAACAACTTGGTGGCACCGAGGGATGGTGAGCTTGGTCAGCTGAGCACACGAGGTCGAACCAAAGACCTGTACATTGCAGTGAATCTTTTAGCCGCTGTGCTACACACGTCCCCTTACACCTTTACAGCACATATGCATCTAGTTGTTAACACATGTGTAGGTGTGTTTACATGCATGCAAACTCTATCCATAACGTAGATGTAACCTAAAGTCTGTAAACAAGTGAATGGGATGTATGCGAGAGGCGGTTCGGGATCGCTTTCAATAAAAACCCATGTCTACTCTTGAATAGCCTAGCATGTCACACCTAAGTGCTCAGTTTTCGAGATTTATGTTCTAAAATGTACCTTGTTTTTTCCAATCACAACTTAGCGTATTGGGAAGAAAACGTTGTTTTCCTGAACCACAGTGAAGGAATACTACCGAGATTATGGTAAGATCTGAAGGAAATATCAAGCTTCAGTAATCTGTAACGAATAGTGAAAAATGTGTGTCTTCTTCGCTCATATCGTTACATCAAACTACGGTTATAAGATGATATATAAAATACAACAGGTCTATTTATAATTTCGACAAAGCTGCAAAAAAGCTAATTAGGTTAACAAGGAAAGTTTGTTGTCGTGAACGCTCAAGCGGAACCTTCAAGTAATTCGAGTTGCATGAGCAGCTGGAAACTGCTAACTTAACTACAAGCATGTACATCTTTATGGAGAGGCGATAAAGAAAGGCATTAAAGAGACAAGAACAGCACTAGTTACAGAAATTACATAGTCCACTTTGAGCATGTGTAACTTTGCTTCACTGGAGCCTTATTATTTGCTAGATGTAGATATTCGCTCTCCAACATTAGAAGGAGCAGCTATTGCATTTAGAGTACAATGGGAGATGTCATCCGCAACTTGCTACCTTAGTCTCTTCGACAATCACGTTCACCTGCTTCCATAACACTTTAAGGAGCAATGACCTCCACTCCTGTCAGTTTTCCGCTTTGAAATCCAGCATGCTATCTCGTCCATGGGAAATCGTACAATACATCGTAGTGATAGAGTCCAAAACATATGAAGAGCTTACCGCCAGTCTTCATCTGTACACTGCTCCCTCTTTATGGACCATCTTTCTCAACGTACGGTAAGCAAAGAAAAAATACCTACACTACGTCGGTAACAATCTCCCATTGTTTGCTGTCTGCCCACAAACTTTTTTTGCGTCACACTTAGTGGTATTGACATAACACTGTACCAAGAATAGCCATTGGACAAAATAGGGTTTCGAAAAAAGCTAGATCATATCCATGCGGCTATTGGGACTCACTGTGTTATCGTTAGAGCAAAGAACGACAGCATTCTCAGTTTCTTGTGCTTAAAGGATTTCTGCTCGCTTGAAACGAAATCGCTCAAAGAACCTTGGAAAATCAAAGTATGCCTACTCTTCCACAAGTTCATGAATTACATTATAACCAGAGTTTTACAATTCTACTTGGGAGATCGGAAGTCAATGGACGGTGGTTAAACTTTTTCCACTTTTGTGGCAACTTCATATAACATACAGCATTAGTGAAGACTGGGATTTGACCAACGCTAACTGACTCGGTCAGTGCGCATGGAAAGGTCGGTATTCGGTTGAACTAGGAAAAAAATAATGTTCATGGTAGATAAGTTCATTTGCGAATCCTCATTCACGCTGTGCAATACCATACTCTCCAGTATGCTCTAGCTTTAGCTATAGAACTGAGGAAGAAGGAACGAACGCCTTGCTGTGTTTGCAAGATCACTATTTTTCGCCAATTCCGGATCACTAGAGAAGTAATCGTGAAGACCTCACTCTTATACTTCACGCAACTTTTTTGACAGAGCAGTGTCCTCCGTTTCAACAGACATCTAGAAAATCTAAACTTCACGTTGTTAGAATGAAAGTGCGGTCAGAATTCATGAACGTGGTATCAAAGAGTATTGGTTGGCGTATCCGGAATGACAAAGAATGATGGGTTATATACGGCAAGACACCGAAAATAACGTTGACCACACATTCTCCGGAGTGATAGGCGCTACCGGAAACTGCTAGGTGTCTTGGGATACTTGACACATCTCGGAAGATCACGAACCAGGCACTCAGACTTCTTCATGAAGAGCATGAGGAAAAGAAATGTGGTACTTTTATGTCTGGCAGGCGATAATACACCAGGAGCATCTTCCATTCGAAAAGATCAGTTGACAAATTGAAAGAAAGAGAACTGGAACGCACCTATCACTTGATAGCTGAAAGAGAACAGAGGATATCGGTGGTGTTGATGGTGGATATCTTATCAACTAATTTAAAAAACGTGGTGGTTGCCACCGCGTCTCTATCGACTCGCTCATTTCTGGCATTTGTTCTACCTTCCAAAAATCGTTACATATGTAAAGCAACGTCTAACTTAGGCAATATACGATATGCATCAAGTCGGGCTTATCCACCGTGACATCAAGCCAGAAAATGTGGGAATGTATGATGTAAGTGGTTCAATTGTTATTAAAAAATGTATACATTTCCATCATTCCTTCACTTTATGATTATGATGATTTATGATTATGATGATTGATTATGATTGATGATTGATTATGACCTATTCGACTACGTGACCTCTATAGGAGTCACACCATGCGAACGTGGTGGTTGCGTTCAACCTTAAATCGGACTACCTTAGACCGCAGGCGATTTTATTCGATACAATAAAGATAGCAAGGTCTGAAAACCTTTTTATAGAGAGCAGATATTCTCTTCTTTTAACCACGATTAAAGTCTGATTCTCTAGAGCTCATGACATATATTCCTTCCAATTCTTGCTTCGTGTCTCATATTCCGATCTTGAAAGCAAACGAACTAACGGAGTTTCATCCGGCAGGTTGCCTCCCTCCTCCCTGTGTATTGTTCAGATTACAGCAACCGCTTTTTCGTTGGAAAGAAATTTTGAAAGTTGTAGATTTCATAAGTAATTTTTGAGAATTATATTCCGTTTCTAAATGCATTTCAACTTGAAAGCACCCTTTATAAATACTACACATGCGAGTATTCCGATAGGGCAAAAATTGTTTTATGAGTTTATAAGGTCCTGATGGCATGCGATACCCCAGTAGTGAAGAAATTATCGTCAGCAGTCGAAAAACTCGCTTCGCGAAAAGGTTAAACTAATGAACTCCTCTCATGATGAGTGTGAGAACAGACTTTCTCTCCAAATTTTGAGTATTTTAATCTAAAAACTCATCAAAATTCTTTCAGTCAATAAATTTAAAGCTTTAGAGCTTTCTTTTTTGAAATACTATCTTATGCAGATTTCCTATCTTTTACCTAGATAATATCATCATGGATAGTTATTAAAAATTGTGGGCGATCCACACGGACGATGATGAAAGTCTGGATTTGGCCTTTTCCAGAATAAACTTGTCGTCATGTACGACATGGGCATGGCCAGAGTATTTTTGGATGACGAAGGCTATCATCGACCACCGAGATCTCACGCGGGCATGCGAGGCACAGAGGAGTGGAGCAGTCTCAATGCTGAAATCGGACGCGATCAGGTTCATTTTTATTTTCATTTAATTCACAAAATATTCACGGAAATTCCATCACCAAGCCATCCAGAACCTGGAAAGTCTAGCAAATCCAATGGTTTACTGCATCAGAAACTTCAAAGAGCTATGATGTACAGCGGAGGTTTATCTTTAAGCAAGATCACCTAAGCTAAGAAAGAGTTCAATACTTTGTACGAAAACCCAGCTAAGAGTGAACCTATCCTACGCCACAGCCTGAAGAGTAATTAGTGAGCACCTTCTCGCCGAAAAAAAAACTATGAAATTAAAGGCTTTATCCAAAAAGTATAGGATTTTTCACGTCCGCAGAGGGGTCAAGACCCACTGGAAAGCTGTGACGCTCGTAAGGGACGAATGGAAGCTGTGGTAATGCCCATGAGAATAATTCATTGATTAGAGAGACCAGTGGTAACGGAAGTGATTACTAACAGCGAAGATATGATGCTATTTCGACTATTTCTTTTGATCTTAAACCACATTAACGAAATAGTGAGGTAGATATGAGGATTTATTTGCTTATGAAATGTTCTTACTACAGCAACGGGCCCGTGTAGCGTAGTGGTCGGAGGCGCCCTACAATAGACATAGGATTGATTCCCACGCCGCAAAGTCATCTAGCTTTCCAACCTTCCGAGGTCTGCATATTGGTGCCGAATTTTTTGGAATGATAGCAGCACTCGCTCGATAGATCCCTCGGCCACCGCGAATCATTCTTTAGTCCAGATATGCATTCAGTCGCCTCCAACTATGCTTAGTGAAGTTGAATGCATGGTGCACCTCTCAAGGATTGAACATCATCGAGAGCTTTACCCTTTACTCTTTTAAAGCACGCTATGACAAAAGATCTACGGTGATTCAGTTCGATGTTAAACGCTTACCGATTCTTGTGTACAACCAGGTCGTAGTCTTAATAGTATTTCGAGGGAACATCCATGATGAGCGAAACATGAAGTCCTGCTCTGCAGAACCATACTCATAAAAACCTACACCGACCGATCTTCAACTGGACAGTTCATCGTCTTCGCATTCAGACCGATCTGTTAACAATAGATAGTACGGCTCATCAGACTCATTGGCGTTATTGTTAAAATTTTGATTTAATTTGTTAGTGCTATCTAAATCTTAAACAGTAGTGAGTCGTGCATCTGCGTGCTTGTGCGGTTTTTATGTTTTTTTGATCATCCACGGCAAATATAGATGAGATGAGAATCCGTTGAATCTATGGTACACCACAATGTGTGATATTCTGACATCCTACGTGATTATATCATAGAATTCTGCTTTATAAGGATATTGAACCTTCCCAGACAAAAGAACTTCGTGTAGCTTGGTGTACGATGAAGCTAAAAGATAAAGCTCTTGGCGTAGATCAATCCCTGAGGAATGCGCTATGCATTCGACTTCATTAAGCATCGTTAGAGGTGATTGAGTGCATAAAACGATTAAGGTTGTGATTATAACTAAAGCGTCAGCTTGTGGGCTCGTTGCTGATTTGGAATCCCCAGATCAATCCCGCTGACGGCAAAAGATTGACAGAGCTAGCTAAGAGACAGGCGAAACGAAGGACCCCATGGTGTGGTGGTGAACGCGTTACTCTTCGGAAAGGACAATAACGCGTTCCTTCCCACCGCAGACACCTGCGGTCCGGAGTTTTGCCAATATCTCAGCTTCATTGAAGTTATATTTCGCAATATACCCTGCCATTAAAAAAGAGTAGGCAGTAAATAAAGCGATTAAGGTTGAACGCATACCTAGCTTTTACAATGACTCGCGGTGGCTCACCGATGTATTGAGTCAGTGTTGCTATCCTCTCTGGCAGGTCTGGTACCAATTCGCCGACCCCGGAGGGATGGGAGGATTGGTGGGTCTGGGGCGCGCGGTATGCATTGCAAAGCGCCTCTAACCACTGCGCTACACGCGCCCTTCACATGTGGTGTTAGATAGAGAGTGATAATTTCTTGACGAAGTTTTCAAAAGCACAATTCTCAGATTTTTCAAAAACACTTCTTGTCCTTAGAATATCCTTTCTTCTGATTGTAATTCACACCTAAGAAAAAAAATACTTGGCGTACTTTTACGAAGAATTGCGTAAACATCGACACGATATCTACTTGGCTAAGACTTTAGCAGTTTGACAAGCTAGTTGTTCTCTCTTAATTCATAAACTATTCATGTCTCGACGTCTATGGTGATTAGCAGAGGTACCGTTTTTTCTTCTGCGTAGCAAAGAAACGATTTTCTCCTTGCGGCCAGGATGTCGATATTTTTGGGCATGGCTTTATCCTTGAACGGACGGTCTTTCGATTGAATGTACCTCTTGCCCATAGTAAAGTGTCAAATCTTACAGAGAAACAGCATAAACCTAGCTCAGGCAAAAAAGGGAACATTCGTTTCAAACCAACAAGCACCGATGATGCTGGAGCCTCGTGACTCTTCTTCATGAAATCGCAGATAAAAAGTTTTTTTAGGGCCGCGTCGATGACCTCTGGGGATGGTTATACTGTCTGAATGAATGGGTGAATTGTAGAAGTCAGAAACCACAGCTTTGGTCAGCGTATGAGCGCGAGCCAAATGTAAGGTAAGTCATTGACAAATAAAGGATAAAGGGTAAAGCATTAGGCGTTGATTAATCCCCAAGGAATGAGCTATGCATTCGACTTCGTTAAGCATCGGTTGGAGGTGATTGAATGCATATCTGCCTTTGCAATGACTCGCGGTGGCGTACCGATGTATCGAGCCAGTGCTGCTATCCTCCCAGACAAGTCTGGTACCAATTTGTGAACCCCGGAGAGATGAAAGAATTGGTGTGCCATGAGCGCTGGGATTGATTCCACGTGTGTTGCAGGGCGCGTCCGACCAGTGCGCCACACGCGTTGAGAAATATTAGTGAAAATTTTGGAAAAAGCGTATTTCCTTGAAATATGGTTACGTGACGAATCGATGAAAAAATTCGTGTATATGGTATGTGGAGTTTTTCAATTAAATGATACACTGTAACTTTCTATTTCAGACAGTTGATGAAATCGACGTTCTTCCCAACCAGAATGGTGCTTAACAACTGTCCATTCGTCTTCTATCGCATCAGTGTACTCATTTTTTTTGTTTTTTGTTATCCTCAATATCTGCTGTAGGTCGTATTGCACAGTGGTTGTGGTATCAAGTCGCTGGCTCGTCTTCTTACTGGTCCAACTATGCCTCCCAATCTTCCGAGACCGGGGAACCGGGACCAGGCTTATCTGGGATCAGCCCACTCACTCCAATCCACGTGGAAAGCCATGGAATGAATATCATAGGATTCTAGGAAGAGTCGATTCGACCAGTGTTCAAAAACATTCATGAATTGGGCGAAAATTGTCAAACAGTAGCCGAGCCCACACTGAAAAGTTCGAAGGCCATCGTGGACGGTGGATGCAAGGAAGTGAGGGAAGTGCTGAGATCCACAAAATAACTGGTGTCCGGTTATGTTAAAAATTATCTGCAATATGTATAATAATTCGATTTGTCTTTGAATTCACAAGTAAAAGGAAAAATAAAGGGGAAAAAAGCATTCGTTATTGATAAATCCCTGAGAGATAAGCCATGCAGTCGACTCCATTCATAACACTATAGAGTTGATTGAACACTCATCTGGTCTATGTGATTTTTGGATCTAATCAGTGTGTCAACTTGGTACATTTTATCTTCTCATAGGAGTGTGATACGAATCCACAGATTTCGAATGAACAAAGGGCTTGGTTTGCCTGGGCTTCGGGATCGAACCAAGCTCCAGATGTGTACTCTAGGGTACTACTAACCATTGGCCTACATGCGACCAAAATAAAAATAAATGGAAGACAAGGCGTTTGGCGTTAAATAATCCCTCAGCTTCTAATCCGTTGAATAATAACCATGCACTCGACTTCATTAAGCATTGTTACAGGTAACTGATTATTGCATATCTGGTCTTCACAATGACTTGCGATGGACTACTGAAGTACCAAACCAGTTCTCCAATCCTCCCATACAAATCTGCTCTGATTTTTTCCAACCCATAAGGATGGAAGGCTTAGTATGCCAGGGGCGCGAGATCGAACTGAAGACTACACGTTTATTATGGGGAACCTCTAGCCACTGTGCTGCATGTGAGGAAGAAATTTATTTACTCACTTATTCACAAGACCCATCTTTTACATTTATAGTTAGTACGGATCCTAGCACTTCCTGCATTTGATTCATTTCCCCGTATCTGTCATCGAAAGTCTTCAAAGTTTTTGCGTGTGACTTTGGCTGTTGCTTGGGGATTCCTTTTTCCATCTTTTTAACGAATGTCGTTGAATGCTGGTCAAAGGGATTCCCTTTGGAGTCCTGAAATAGCAAGTCTAGAGCGTTCCCACTTGGAATGAAGAGAGAGAGCCTTTCCCAGAAAGTCTGACACCAATTTCCCGACCCTCGAGAGACGAGATGCTTAGCAGACTCAGTGCGGGGTCACACCAGCACTGTAATCGGGATAATCGGCTTTACTACCCACTGCCTTATGCGTCCCCTGTGAAGGAAAATACGATACCAAAAATAATAAGAAGCAAAAAACAGCGTCCTTCAATACTTGATCCATCATGTACCATATTTCATGTTTTTCAGTGGTATCTGCGCACACTGGGTCGTGATGATACTCCAGACTATTTCTATCTGGCCATGATCCTTCAGGAATCAACTGGACGTGTCAAAAAGACTCAGAAACCGGAATCCGTCAACTACAAGAAGGCGATGACCGAGATCAGTCTACTTGAACGGGAATTCTTCTAGATATGAATGTTATTGGAACTAAACAACTAAACAACATTAAACTCAACTACATAGAACTAAATCGTGGTCTGTCTTTTAATCATAACTATTTTCCTACTGTGACCAAGAACGGTGAGGCTCTAGCCGTTCTCTATTAGATGCCATAAAGAGTCAGTCAATGAAGGCTGACGATTTGCTGCTACAACTTCTTCATGCAGAATATTCGTTTACATTGATTGATATCCTGCCTGCCATCGACTAACTCGAATAGGTACCAGTAATTCCCGCATAGCCTACCTGAGCACAGTATGGCATCAAAGCTGCATACTGCTACCTCAAGAAAAGTGTTCAGCCTAACACTGTTAGTATAGAAGCCTCTACCTTCTGTCCTTTCTGCTAGGAGAGAAAATGGCCATGTATAGCTCACTCGGTTCGGTCATGTGATAGTTTCATCTTAGCCGGGCTTCCGGATGAAAGATCAGACTGAATCACTTTCATGGGGAATGAGCCATGGCTACACGTCGCTGCTCAGCAACCAGGAACATTGTTCCCTCACGATTAGGTGGTAAGCTTGTGGAGAACATCATCCAACACTATTTGAAAGTACAAAGAAGTCTACATAGAAAATTATCTTCATTCTTAAAATTGTCACAAAATGAGAAATATTCTGAAGAATCACACGCAAATAAAATACACCAATAATTAAGCCAAATCACTTTTCATCCGAATCCATGGAGTTTTTCTCTTCTTCCAATGACAAAACTGCGTAGTTCTCAGTAGAATTTTGGATAATTCGTTGTTTCACATGAAAACGCATGAATTCAGCCAAAGCGCCCAAGTTCAAAGGTTGGAAAAGAATCAAGCTAAGCGCAAAATATGATCACACAACCGGAATGCATAGCTCCGAGCCATTCTGAGCAATCCTGAATGTCAATGGACAGCACGATCGCTCGTCGACAGTCAGCTTGCCGTGTCTCCCTGGCACACGATCGACTTCGATAGATGGCAATAGGCCAGAGTTCTCGCACTCGTTTCTCAAGCTCTTCAATAAGCTGCTCGGCGTGCTTAGGAGGAAAGACTGAGCGCAGAGTTTTGCACTCATTAGAATTGAGCAGTTTGGTGACAGCATCATAGTCAAAAGTGTCCTCGATCGAAACGTGTGTATTGAACCTCATTCGATCCTCTTGACGCTCTGGCGGGAACTGGAAAGTTATTCAATCACACCTTGATAAGGCAAACTGTAGAAAACTAGATTTTGAGAATAATAATATTATAACTGTTATTACTTAGACGATAACAATCAAAATAAAACTGATAATAACCACAATGATGCTGAGATATTTGCAAAATTCCAGACCGCAGGTGTATGCGGTGGTGAACGAACACGCTATTACCCATTCCGGGGGTTAGCGCGTTCACCACGACACCATACGGGTCTTTCTGAAAACTAATAATGATAAGAATAATGAATAATAACAAGAATAGTAAGAAAATCTAGCACCGTATGATACGAAGTGGTGGAAATGACAAGGTTCTCTGTGTAGGGAAACTACGGCATTACTAAACCGAAAAGTGGTACACAAGCGAACTATGAATAATAAATATAACAACTACATCAGTAATTTAATTGCTGACCAACTTCTTTAGGAACTCAATAACACTACCTAACGAAAAGATCGATAGGACTGCAAAAAACCGGTAAAGCTCTATGTAGGCCTCGCCTCACGTTCTTCACGGTCAATAGGCCTCACAAGGCCCTACGCGGACTAAGGCTTTGACCAATAAGTCTCGAAAAGAGCTCATGAATTCGCCCACAAAACCATATCATCATGAGCTTCAGGTGGTCGTGAAGGAGATTGAGGTTTAAACGACAGGCACTATTTTAATCTTGACTGGAAACAACAATATAACAATTTGCTTCTTGAAGGAAAGAGCTAAAAATACCTCGTTATTGATATATTGGAATTTTTCCTCAATGAACGTTAGGTATCGCTCTTCTAGTGTACGCTGCTTGTGAAGCCATATCATTCCCTTAAGAAAGTTGTACATTACTTTAAAGCTGGTGTTGTAGAGTACTATTATCACGTCTTTAATGAAGAAGAACTTGAATTCTACATATGTTCTTCTAAACTTAATCGAGCACCTGATCAGGGATAAACAAGTCCTTATTTTTGTACTGCTTAGCATAAAAGTATTTATTCCTTCGCATTAACGGATTGTCATCAAACAACAGATAATTTGCCACTGATCGTGCTGCTTCCGAACCACGCATTACTGGAAATAGCAAATGAAAAGCTTCATGGAGCTGTTACGATACGAAAGTTTCACTTTTCTTGCAGAACTGCTCACTTTTCACATGTGGATGGAACCAAGACTCACTTCGCAGCAGGATTTTCAAGGATTTTTGAAATATTCTATGACTGATTTTCTTCTTTACTTTAGAATATGCAAGAATACAATGGGGTATTACTTGGACACCTAGACACTTGGATGGCCCGTCTTCACTGGTTGTGCGGGCACCAGCACAATCCCCATTTTTCTGGCTTTTGCTGCTTCGCCATTGCGGTTCCCTGGGGTCTCGAGGTCAGCCTAGCCAAACTCTGCCCCAGGTCGTCACCACCACAGTTAATCATTGCCCTTGTAGATCAGAGGGAGATTGCCCACGATGAGACTAATTTGATACCAGGACTGTGGTGGATCCTGGCATTGGTTTACTCTTAGTTAGGCTTCCTGTTGGAAACGCTGGACTCCTTCTCAGCTTCGAAGACCCTGCCAGGGTGATGGATCTCCTCACCCGCCCTGTACATCGAAGCCCGACACCCAGAAAGACCTCCTGCCCACGATGAGACGGTAAAGCGTCGGCAGGAATTCAGTATTTGCATAAATATATGATATATTAGTGGCAATACGTCAAGATTAGTAGACCGTCCTAGTGTTTTTTGCAAAGTGACTTTTAAAATTTACTAGATACTGGGAAATTTGTAAGACTTACACTGATACTGACAGTAGTGAAGGTACTCATAATGTGCTGCTAGTAGCTGACCAACATTATGACCATTGATTAACGCCAGACGATAGAGACAATTATGTTGACAACGTATCACTGATGACTGCATACCTAAATTACTGTCATTTTGTCCCAAAAATAACCCACCTAAGAGCCTGACTTGTGAGAGGGTTCTGTTCAACACATACTAAATACCGTAACTCACTCGTGAGTAACACATCAATCTCCGGATTACCGTCGATAGCACTCCAATCTATCTTATCTTCACAAAGAAGTCGACATCTAAAATTGATCGATGCATTTCCGTCAACTAAGATACTTAAAAAACACTTGAATCTATACTGGAATGGAAAACCTCGAGTCTTCATCGATCGTCTTCTCTATGGACGACTCAAAATCATCTATACATTTGTGCCAGTCTTCTGCTTCATAGGCCTGTACTCCTGAGATAAATCGAACCTTAAGAATGCAGCAGTTTTTTCCTTCGTCCTTTTTCTTGGTCAACAAATCCATGAAAAGTGTTGAACCTCGTAGGTTCGACGAAGCAAATCCACTAGCATATTATCGTGATAACCCGGTTGTTCCATGTAGAACGCCAAACCGTCCAACGTGTCTTTGTCAGCGGGATTTTGAACCAGAAAAGTATATGCTGACTGTACAGCCTTTGCCAATTCGCCTATCTAAAACCTGAGATGAAACAAAAACTCTTAAACAACACTATGATGTAGTGACTATACGTATTGATTACATCGAGTAGACCGCTTTAACAGATCGATAACAATGCTTTGAATTGCAATAGCATGAGTGTATTCCCTAATTCTACACTCCGGTAAGAAATTAAAAAACAAACTTAACATACTATCACAATGCCGTCACTTTTTGTTTACTCTCTATTCTTTTTTAATGGCAGGATATTATATGAAATATAACCATAATGATGTTGAGATATTAGCAAAACCCTGGCGGACCACTGGTGTCTGAGGTGGGAACAGAGTACGGTATTACTCTTTCCGGGGGCTAACGCGTTCACCACCACACCATAGCAGTTGTTAATTTTTCCTTTCTTTTATCTGTCTTATTAACCTAATTCTATATTTAGAAACCTGGAAAGTTTGATGGAAACTGTCAAAATTTGAATCCACTTACCTTCCAATGGCAAATATGGAGATACTGAAACGGTTTTCGCTCAACAAAATCGAAATAAACGCTCATTTTAGCCAATGGTGGTCTTTCTTCTGAAAACTTCCACATTATTTCATCCAAGGCATAAAGAATTCGTTGAAACTAAAACTTCTAAACCGTCATTTACCAGTAAATCGTTCACGCTTACATCGCAATAAGCAGAGAGCTCGTTCGGACTGAGCGTGCTTCTGCGACATGAGGCCGTCGTCGGGCGATTCCACCTGTTCTCCACATTTTCTTCGACACCACACCAGTTCGTCTTCGAAATATCTGAAAACGAGAGCGATTCATTCATCTGACACTTGCTATCTGAAAGGTTTTGAAACTGTCACGATTCCCAAGAGCGCGAGAAATCGCTTCGAAAAAAGAAAAATTTTGTAGCCAACCTAGTGCTAGTTGCTTACTAGTTACTCTTGTTTATATTTATTCATTAGATCATTTTCATTTCCACTCCGACATGGTCTCGCTACATCAATAGCCCTCGGTGAGCAATCCTATAGGCCAAGTACGCAATCAGTCACTTCTTCGACTCAACGAGTGGAATCCAATGCATAGCGCGTCAGTAAGGGATTCATCATCATCAAACACTTTACTTTACATCTTACGTATACATTGAGAAAACAAATCAATAATAGGCAAGAGTTCCTTAAAACATTTTACCAATATAGGAACTGGTAAACTCACTGGAAATCATCAAGCGCACGTTTCATGAATGCTATACAATCAGGCCAATTACCATCCGTGTACTCGTATTTTCCATACTGATAGAGTTGTTCAAAAGTCATCTTCGGATCGTCCGGGGTACTGCTGGATCGATCGATAAATGAATATGTGAACAGAGAATACAGGACTATTCGGGCCATGACAAATGCCGTGCTGGTGTAAGCTGTCGAAGAGGAGCACGTCTGGACCGAAGGAGAGGCACGAGAGGTCAGAGCAGCTGCACGCCCCTGCTGACCTCAACGGCCAGCACTCTCTCTCAGGATCTGGCTGACTGTTCAGTCTGGAAGTTACCTCCTATTTTATGGATGTGTGGACGTCTTCCTTATCACCGTTACGAGACTATCGGTGTCTAATTTTACTCTCTCTAGTCTTTCGCATTTCATTTTTTAAGCTTAACTAGTGGAAACGCTAAGGAAAATCCCGACTTTACCTAGCTGCACAATACCAATTCAGGCTGTGCATAAAGTCATATAGAGGCCTGGCTGTATTTATCAATCCCTGTAGTAGGCGTCATGCATCCACTTCCATTCACTCCATCATCGAGACGACTTAATGCATATTTGGCCGATACATTGACTTTCGAAAGGCGATCAATATATCACTCTTCCAGACGTGTCTGGTGCCAAACAGGAGGGATGGAGAGTTTGGGTTGTGCTTGGGTGATGTACGCAATGAGTGTACCCGTTCATAGAGTACACCTTTAGCAACTGCGTTACACCAACGCACTGCATAAATGTAATCTTCACATTTAGCAGTTTTGCTCCATTTTCTGTTTTATTTTGAGTAACATAGACTCTGCTGTTAACCAGCAGCGTAAAATGGAGTTTCCAAGATCATTTCCGAAAGTTTAATCTATCGATTTGAACAAGTAGGAAGCCATTCACTAGTGCTTGACGATGAAATACACCTGCAGCGCAGTTCAAAGAGCTCTAGTACATCACGAACTCTACTCACACAATATGTCTAGAAGGTATTGGCTAAACTCGTCACAAACACCTGTTTAAAGTGGTTATTTTGTTCAAAACGAAAAAGTCAGAATAGAGTAGACACTACTCGTAAGTTACACATTACGTTTCTCGGAAACTGTTCAGCAGTAATTCTTCTCGAATCTGAAACAAAATAAGGGCGCTTGTGGCGTAGTCCTCGTCGGATGCACACTGCAATACACAAGTGACCAATTTCCGCGCTCCAGTCCCGGCAAGCCTTCCATCCATCCGTGGCATGCTAATTGCTACCAGACTTACTTGAGAGGATAGCAGCACTGGCTCGATACATCGGTAGGCCACAGCGAGTTACTGTAAAAGTCAAATGTGCATTCAGTCACCTCTAACGATGTTTAGTGAAGTCGAATGGATGGCGCATCCCTCATGTATAAATCAACGCCGAGAGCTTTATCCTTTATAAATTGCATTCTTGGGAAATTTTAAGGGCTGGAATTTCGGATGTGGAGACGGAAATTTCGACAAATTTACTTCTACAGTGTTAGGTAACACACGGTGTGACGCTGATTTCGAAAATTTTGTCGTGGAGGAATCGACGTTGGAGGTGAGAGAGATTGAGGACATCCCTCTGCTAAGGACAAAGATGAATTGAAGGTTTTGATGGAAGCAAATACACACACAAATGTTTGACAACTTGTAAGAGAGCTTATTGTGAGTACTTCAACTGTTCCGCAGCATTTGAAGAAATCCAGGACGTCGAGCAAGCTCGCCAAATGAATATCATACGAATCTGCTATACATCTCAGTACCAAAGTTGCAGAGTTTAAACGAGGTGAGCAGTGAGACTGTATTATCGACCGTACTCGCCGTAGCTATCGCCTGCTGATCACCATTTCTTCAACCATCTCGATAACTACCAGTGCAGGAAGTCCTTTAGGAACCAAGTCGAAACCAGAACTATCTTCAACGACTTCACCGCCTCATGAATCACAGAATATTAAACAACTGAAATGATCTCTTAATTGCAGAAAAAAATGTGCATATTCTAGTGGTTTGTATCTCGATTTGGAATGTTTACACTCACATAAGATATGTGCTTTAAAGGTATAGGTTGAGATCCGGCAATAATTTCTGAAGAATCTTATATTTATTTAAAAAATGATATACATATATACATATACATACATGCTTTTAACAACATTAATGGGAATGCCCATCCTCCTATGGCCAATGCCAGTAGCCCGAGTCTCTCCATTACTTCAGTGATTTCCAGTTCCAAACAATGGGGTACTCAACGCATAGAATAGGAGGAAAGAACTCAAAACCAAATTTTTTTTTACTAGAAAAAAAGAACGCCCTTCAATCTTCATTGAACGGCGTTACGAGTAAGCACCAAGGCCGCCCATTAAATTTTACTACATCGGCTTACCAAGAATTTATTACAGTTGATAATATATGGCATTCTGCCACAATGAATCATTTAAGCAAAACTGCTCATTATTCAAAATCACAAAAAGCTATTCGTTCACATGTACCAGATCTCTTCCGCCCATTACATAAACTTTATCAAAGATTCTAGTGCGGCTGTGGGACGTGCCCATCGACATAAAAGTTTCGAGTGATTGGAGGTAGTGTTACTTTTATCCCGTCAAGATCCTTCCGAAGTATAATTTGACACCCTAGACGAGAGTTGTGACGCAAAGCCGGGGCCTGAAAAGTTTGGCTTTACTGTTAGTGGGGAACTGAAACAAGCATTCATACGGAGTAAAAAAATGAAAAAGGATAAATTTTCAACACATTTTGTTTATGAAATGAGAGACACTGTTAGAGATACCAGAAAAGATGGACATTTGCTTTTATAAATGATACCTGATCAAGCATATCATCTTCTTCTTCCTTTGGTTCATTCAATTTGTCATAGTGATCTTTATCAACATAAACGTGACATGTGGAACAGGCCAGTGAAGCTTCACAAGCACCTTCCATTTCAATGCCATATCTAGAAAAACTAGAGAGTAAACTACAATATAATATGAGTACACGGATCAATTTAAAGACACTAAAGTCGGAATTCTCAACTTTATTCACAACATAGTACATAAGAGTAAAAGATAAGGCGTTCCGAGTTCATCGATCGCCGAGTGATGCGTCATGCATCCGACCTGATGAAGCTTCATTAGAAGTGTTTGAACAAATGCCAGACCTACAGAGTGACCTGCACTGGCCTGCTGATGTATCAAATTAGGGCTGCTACCCTTCCAAATAAGTCCAGTACCAATTTGACGATCCCGGAAGGATGAAAGGCTTGCTGAGCGCGGGGTGTGGAATCAAACCACGACCACGTGTGTATTGCAGGGCGCCTCCAACCATAGTAGTACAAGCGAACCTCAAATTTTTTAGCTGGTACGTAATACATGTCAGCTAGAAAACTTGAAAAAAAAAGCCACAAGCAACTGAGAGGAGATTGAGAAGCAAATCTCGTTCTGATCCACAAGGTCAGCGAGTGGTGGTGACGACCTGGGCCAGATTTTAGCTAGGCTGACCTCGGGACTCCAGGGAACCATAATGTGTAAACCAGCTACACTCTGAAAAAAGTGGGAATTATGCTCGGACTTGGAAAACCGGTGAAGATGGGCCATCCAAATATCCAAATAAGTATGTTGAGCAGCAACAACATGTTATGCTGGACGAAATCCCGCTTTTCCACTTGTCTTCGTGTTTGAAAGACGAGCTTTGAAACAATTAGGTCAACATGTGTTATGCATAGGCCCCAGATCGGAATCTTATCGTGACAAAACAAGAGAACTTTCATCCTGTATTATTTAAACTGAGATTATCAACATGAAATTGAAAGCGGCTATCATTTCCGCATCTTATGACTACCCTTGGTCATTTCGTCTCAAACTGTTAAAGTCACTGTTGTTCAGATACCGTCTGCTAATGAACAACGTCTTCCATCGCTTATCGAGCCATGAATTTCTATCGAGAAGTTAAAACGCAATTTTTTAAGCATGAGATTAGCGTAGATGAAGGATAGGGGATCTACGACAGTTTTGTGAAAAAATAGGTGTAAGGGTTCACAAGCCTAAGCCAAAAGAAGGCTCAATTCCAAGTTAATGAATCGTGTATGGAGATTACATAGGATTACGTCGCCCATTTTGAGAAGGTACCACCCAATAATTGCATTAATCCCACGAAAGTTCTTGTAAATGGCGGATATGAATGGGCGTACTGAAAAAGCGACAAGTAATGATTAGTCGCCGTGATACTACATGCTTTCATGATAACGTAAGGGCACAATTGTTTATGAACGTTTAGAAACTGCGGGACTATGCATGGGATGATATGGTTCACTCCCAGTACTCCCCTGATTCTGTATTTCCAGATCATCCAACTGTTTCCATTGCTACAAATTGTATCAAAATGCGAATGGATGCCTTAGTGCTAACGCAAAATAAAAAGCCGTAGAAGAATCCCGCTGGCTCCTGCCCAATCTGTGAAGACAAGTTTCACGAGTGCCCATATTACCGAGTAATTTATCAAATGTATACTGAAACTACTAATTCTCCATATGAAAAGAGCTGCAGGACTTGCGCGAAAAACAAGAGGAAAGCAATCGAAGCCGGACATGGAAAAAATCCAGGGACTAATCCGAGTAATTTCAAAGATATAGTGAAGCCACGTACTTCTTCATGAGAAAGTTCTAAAACTATGAGCAGAAGAAGATGAAAAAAAATCTTGAGCATAGAAATACGAAAGAAAAAAAGATCCGGGAACTTATCTATGGGCAAGATACATCACATTATCGCCCACTTTCCCACGGACCTTCTTCTCAGTACCATCACGCAGAACATAAGTGATGTTCACCACTTCGTCTTCGGATTTCGGATCCTAAACACTGGACTTCTCGCAAGTAGATGTTAACAGATGAAGAAGGACCACAACACCAAATGTAAAGCAATCTATGAAATGAATGATAGACGAATATCTAGCAGAGCACGAATAGAACAAAAAAGCAGAAAACTTGTAAGATTCTATGGAAAACGTCTCTTGTTAAGAAGAAACTCATCGATGTGAATAAGCTCTTGGTTTCCATTATGTTCAGAAATAACATTTACTAGATCCTATAGACACTCTTTTGAGTATGTATTCTTTCCTTGATGATATCATTCAAAGCTCATCAAAGAAAGAATACATATTGATCAGTGATACCAAGGTTCAAGGAAAGTCGGTTTCGAAATATTACTCTTTTGAGTAGTTTTTACATGCAAAAAGGGCACTACTATGCCCACAATTCAGCTTCAGTACTACCAGCTATTGTGCGCAGGACTACTTCCGTTATCGTCTTAACCAGCGTTAGCCATCCCAAGTCCACGATGATGGACGCAATCGCTGATGGAATTCATCCTTGAAAGACTTCCCGTTTTGTTTTCTGTTTAGTTTTGTCCTTCCTTCTATCTTTTTGAGCTGTTTTGAGTTCTTTGTCCATATTTTCTTAATTGAAAAAGAATTTGAAATCAGAGAATGGTCCCCCAAGAAGGAAACAATGGGAAGACTCAAGAAGAGACATTTAGACAAGAGATTCAGACATGATTTTAAAATATCTATGAAAAAGTGAATTCCGCATTTCGACTCTTTTCATTGTGACCTTTGTAGGTACACGGAACTATGGCGAAGATATAATTGCGGCTTCTAGGGACCAAAAGGATTTCAAAGAATAATGTAGCTGCCAGAAGATTCTACTTCAGTTAGTTAATGTAACAGTCCATAGGTTCAATTCTCTGTATGGAAGACCCAGCCACTAACATCAAAATGACATAACACATACTACATGGACTTGACTGAATGGTCTGCGAAATAACATTCAAAGAAACATTTATTAACCTTATGTAAGCTTATCAAAGAAGGAATACATATTGATTAGGCACGCTGTGGTTAAAGAACCGGTTTTGAATATTCAAAGAAACATTTCAAATCGATTTTCGCATTGGGACTTAGTTCTACGTTCACTAGTAAGGCTAAACTAAGTGTTCCCTCAAAGTTTGAGCTACTAAACTTTAAAGAGACCCTCCCTTGTTTCGATTAAATAAACACGAAACGAAAAAAGAAAATGTTCAAGCCGGAACAACACTAAAATTTCACCACAAGAAACCTGATATGGGGCATTGCTTTTCGTAATGAGGCTTGGGTGGATAGGAGGGTGGTAATGATGCCGATCATCACGAGCACGGTACTGGGTCGATTCTGATCCAGGCTCAACAGGCCTCCCATCCTAATGGGGTCGGGAAATTGGTACCGGACTTCTTCGGGAGGAGTTCGCTACCTGCAATCTCTATCCTGGTTATCCCAGCACTCAAAGGAGGATCAAATCGACCAGCATTTAACGACATTCACGACGAGGAGAAATTTTCACACAGCAATCTACACGTGAAAAATTGAAAGGCCTTCGTGAATAATAGGTGCCAAAAAACGAATCTAATCTGACGAAAGCTGGGATTGGCATAGTAGCCATGAACGATGGATCGTGTAAAAAAACAAATGAAGCTTAAGAATGGTAAGAGGCATTTAAAGAAGCACCGCTCACAGAACAATGACAAGAAGTATCCGCGTAAGTTTCTCTTACCTGATATTCGAAGTCACCGTGATGTTTGGCTGCTGTCAGTGAAAGTAACCTCGCACTCAAGTTCTCTATTGTAAATAAATGCTTATAAAGACGAAAAATCCTAGAAGTTCGTGGAATCCTCGAAATAACGAACATTGCCAATTTTTCCGTCCGACATTGCAACCCGCATGGCAGCCTGCCGTTTAGCCATGCAGCCCTTGCATAGCGCTCTCGTTTTCTGCGTTTCTCTTTTGCTTTCATTCCATAGCCTGGTTGCCTTTTTCATCGTCAAGGTAACCTCTATAATGACGTTTTGGGCCGTTGGGTCCGTGATTCTTTTTTTTCTTCTATCTGTTTCGTTAAGGACTTCCGACGTTGCTTAACAAGTATAGGAAACTATTTGAGGAAGCCTCTGATGGCGGGCCAGAATCCACGACTTCGTGGAAGACAACCGGCAGCTCAGAGGATATACCGGAGTTCGGTCGGTACTTTTAACATAACCCTTTGTTAAGGTTCCGATTTCCAAGGATACGTGCTTTCCCACTTGTTCCAGATAGCCCCAAAGAAACGATCGTATTTATTTGTAGACTTGAAAAAATGGTCCTCATCGTTTTTTTTTCCAGCACGTTCGTTACGCACCTGGTGCAGGTGGGGACACGGAGATCAGCTGTTGTGTGAAGTATTCCGTGTTCGGTTTCAATGTTCTATTTTTTCTAATAGGATTCGCTTTGTTGCTTATTGGCGTTTGGGCGCAAATAGAGAAGAATAATATCTATAGTCACTTAAATAAGGTACGATTTTCTCTATAACAATTTCAAAAACAGCTAATCTTCTGATTTTCAATAAGTAGCGAGGATGTCCATAGAAAGTTCCGTTGAGTTCCTTACGAAAACCAGAGGAAAGAGTTGGTAGCATTGTCCATTTTCCCTCAACAGTTTACCGTCTCATCGTGGGTGAGAGGTGTTCCTGGCCGTTGGGCTGCGATGTGCAGCGGTGGATATATCCCCCGACAGGGTCTCCCAAGCTGAGAAGGAGTCCGGTTTTCCCATCAGGAAGCTCAGGTAAGAGTGAAGTAATACCAATACCGGGATCCACCACCGTCCTGGTATCGAACTAGTCGCATGGTGGCAAATCTCCCTCTGATCCACAAGGCCTGCGACTGCCTGTGGTGGTGACGACGGCCAGATTTTAGCTAGGCTGACCTCGGGACTCCAGAGAACCACAATAGCTGAGCCAGCAAAACTCTGAAACGTAGAGATTATACTGGGGCTCGCACAACCAGTGGGGACGGGCCGTCCAAGTACCCAGCTCCAAATAAGTAAGTCCTTTCAAGAAAATGTGTCACAAAGACGTTTCTGCACTTTAGCGTGCTGCTGCCCGTTTCTTACAGACAAAGGAATATCTTAAGTTATATGACATAGAGTGCTCAAAGCTCGAGGTTAAGTGAGCTAAGAGTTTGGGATTTTAAGAGCTCACTAACCTAACAACTCAAAAATTACCTAGTCTGAAGAAGTGATCTGTACGCATTTCTTTCTTTTTTGATAACCTGTGATCACATCTAGTGCGTGGATGCCAGCACTTCTTGGATTCTACTCTTTCCTCGCACAAATCGTCCACAGTGGTCCTAGAACATTTTGCGTGTTGTTTCGGCTGTTGCTTGTGGATTTCGTCTCCCTTAGGAATGTTATAGAGTGCTGGTCGAATCAGTTCTCCTTGCAATCTTGGAGATGGCCTGGCTTAGGCGTTCCTACGTGGATTGGAGGAGAGCGATGGGACGGGATCGAACTAGTGCTTTGCTTCCTGATCGACGGCATCACTAACCACTACACTATACCCGCCCCCATCACGCATTGTTCGGAATATTATATACACTTCTTCCAAATTGCGAACATGATCACGCGTATTCTGACCGTCTACGTCTTGACGGAGTGGAATTATACTAGTTTCTAGAATTTAAATATGGTTTTGGTTGGGATCAGGCAGATGTTTTGCAGTGTGCAACCACGACCTGCCTTAATCCTTCTTATCACGGCCTAACCAGTACCAGGTTCCATCGCTGTCCTGGTATCGAACTAGTCGCATGGTGGCAAATCTCCCGATGATCCGCAAGGGCGGCGGCTGCCCGTGGTGGTGACGACCTCAGGCAGGCTTTGGCTTAGTTGACCTTGAGGCTCCAGGGAAGCACACGGGCTAAACCAGCAAAACTCAGAAAAAGTGAAAATTATACTGAAGTGTGTATCCAGTGAGACAGGCCATCTGAGTATCAAAGTAGGTAAGTATAACAGTCTAAACGAATTTACGGCTGAAGAATGGACGTGGATGGTTTATTTGTATTGTTGTTGAACCTCAATCTCTATAAAATTATTCTTAATTTTCAGGCGTCCAAATTATATCTCGATCCAACCTGGATTCTCCTTGTCGTTGGTCTAATTACATTCATCATTGGTTCGTTATTTTTAACTTACCACTTACGATTGATGCCAAATTAAGCGAACAGTACATCCGTTAGAGGAGGTACAAATAGATCTCGAATCCTCTCTTATCACCTCTACCACATATGGTCCCATTAATCATCGAGTGATTCAAGAGGGTACTAGTGTCTATTCATCTATTGCAAATCAGAGCTCCGTAGTAGTATGCGCTAGCCCGAATAACACGAAAACCATCGAACTTTTGTGCGAAGACGTTTATTTTTATTTTTGGCTGTATAGTAGGGAGATGTTGCTAATCGAAATATATAGCATAGATTTAACTTTATTTGAGTTTCCAGATAGGGCTGTTGAACCCAAACTGGGCGGTCGTATTGGAGGGACAAATTTTCTCTTGATATAGCTCCTCGGAATGTGAGATCACCTCTAACCATGATAGCACCACTTGTCATGAAGAATAAAATCTATTAGCCTCCAAGAACTAGTAACATAGGAAATCGTTGGAAAACTCCAGAAGGAATTTTTAATTTATTTATGCTATATTAAATTTCAGGCTTCAGTGGCTGTGTCGGCTCGCTTCGTGAAAATACCTCATTTTTAACTTTCTACTCGTCTTTACTTGGTTTGCTGCTCATAGCAGAATTTGCCGGTGCCGTGTTTGCCTACGCGTGCAGAGACCAGTTGGACACATACATTCGTAACTTGCTGAACGATGTAGTTAGTGATGTTTTCCTTCTGCTAGATCAAAGATATTTCTTCGGTGACTACGCTGTGAAGTATTCTTTGTGGGTTTGATGGGAACCTCATAGTAGTGTACTTCTGTCTTTCCGTTTGTCATCGTCTTCTGTTTTCGTCGTATCACGAGGTCCATTGATTTAACCTTGTTCAGGTGATCGGTTACCGTGATGACCCGGATCTCCAAGTGTTAATCGACACTATGCAAGAATCCTGGCACTGTTGCGGAATCAATGGTGCCGACGATTGGGACCGGAATACATACTTTTCCATTGCTGCTCGGGAGGTATGCGTTTATCCAGTTCGAGTTCATTTCCTGACATTTTTTGGGTTCATTCGTAGTTCAGTAAGAATTTGTTCTTTTGAAATGTTACAATATGCCTATGCATTTTGGGAAACTGAAGCAGTCTAAAAAGAACACTTTAACTCCTTAGTGTAGGCATACTACGTGTCTTTTCGTATTCGGAGAAACTCCTGAGGTGTGGCAGAAAGAGAGTTTATGCAATTCTATGCTGCATCTTGTGCGGAATTAGCCATTCGTTCTCTAGATGTCCTTATTCGGTTTTTTTTCTATGATCCATCTATCATGTCTACTATGCGGATCCAAGATTTCCCACATTTGATTCGTTTCCTGGTATCCGTCATCCACTAGGATCTTCTAACATTTATGTGTGGCTTTGGCTACTGCTTGAGGATTTTCACTTCATTTCGAATGTCGTGAAATGCTGGCCGATTGGATTCTTCTTAAAATCCTGAGATAGACCCGGATGGTGTAGTGGTGAGGTGCGCTGCTCCCCGGTCAGGACAACAGCGCGTGTTCGTTCTCCAATGCATACACCTGTGGTCCGGAGTTTTGCAGATATCTCAGCACTTCATACGAGTTATATTTCACAACATAGCCTGCCATTAAGAAGAAAAAGGCAGTAAATAAAAGAGTTAAGATTGTGATTATAACGAGGCCTCAGCTTAACTGGGTTCAATGCCGATATTGGCTCCCCAGATCAATCCCGTTAACGGGTGATTGCTGATGGCAAAAAGATCGATAGAACTAGCTGAGATACATGCAAAGCGAAGGACCCGGATGGTGTAGTGGTGAAGTGCGCTGCTTCCCGGTAAGGACAACAGCGCGTGTTCGTTCTCCACTGCATACACCTGTGGTCCGGAGTTTTGCAGATATCTCATCACTTCATACGAATCCTGAGATAGTTGGGCTGGAGCGTTTCTAATTGCGTTGCAGATAGTAATTTCTTCCCTGACAACTCGATTACAAATTTCCCGACTCTGGAGAGCTGAGAGGCTTTGTGAGTCTAGCCGATGTCGAATCAACTCCGTGTTGGTGAAGACCAGCATGAGTAAGACTGTGCTACCCGCCCCTCTGTTCGGTTGTTAGATGGATTATGTAAAGTTTGTTCGTAACGTTTTTATGTCAGTAGAATTTGCTTGGCGTAGCAAAGTATCTCCGATAAATAGAGTATTTTAAAATGATTGGTTTGAACATAGGGCTTGATAATTGCAATAGCGAGCCTCTCCACACTGTTCATAATTCAGGTTTCTTCACCTGAGGCTGGCGGTGTGCCGTTCTCCTGTTGTTTGAATAGCAGTCAATTGGCTTTTAAAAATTTTTACTGTGGACATGGAGTGCGATTAAAGGTAAAAGTGTAGATGAATTTCACTTCTTCTGACAAACTTCTGAAGGTTCAGTTTTAGGAACATGCTCAAAATTCGCTGAATACCATTTATACGGATGGATGTTTGCCAAAACTGCAGTTGTGGCTGAACAACAACGTATTTCTAGTGGGTATCGTGTTAATAGTCGTCGCGGTTATTCAGGTGTGTTTTTCTTTGTTGACAGCTGAGTACGATCATTACTGCTAATAGAGAATCAGCTGAGAGGAAGGCGAAACGAACGACACGCATGGTGTGGTGGTGAGCGCGTTAGCCCCGGAAAGGGTAATAGCATGTTCGATTACCAGCGCAGACACCTGCGCTCCGGAGTTTTGCAAATATCTCAGCATCATTGTGGTTGTATCACACATAATACCCCGCTGTGAAAAATTGTAATAGGCAGTGAATAGAAAATTAACATTACCGCCAGTATTTATTTTATTTGTTGTTGTTTTACAGATCCTTGGCATTTGTTTTGCTCAAAATCTTAAGAGCGATATCTTTGCACAACGGGCCAAATGGTACTATACGCATTAGCTTGTTTTCTCAAACACATTTCTCAAGGTTTTGGAGGATTTCTCTTTTATCTCTACTCTTTTTGTACTGTATAATTGATGACTCGCAGTAGAGTAAGACGAAACGATTTCATTTTGTAAACCATTTTAGTTTGTATATTCTGATATTAGACGGATGTGTTCTAAAAACTTCGCATAGTCATGTTTACGAGGTATTCATTTCATGTGTTATTAGGCTTCGAAGGTAAAACTTCTTTCAAATCAGCTTTCAGAGCACTGCTTTGGTAGAGTTCCTCTTCTTTTCCTTAAAAGAGTTGGAAATATCGCTACTATTTGCAGCTATGTGACTTTCGAGCTCACCTCATAAAGGGTCTAGTAGAACATTCTCTTGACAGAGTCATTGTGTCTCTTCCTTTCGTATTATCGTTATGTTCACAAGATTGTGCCTCTTGGTTGCTTTCTCAGTTTCAGTTCCTTTCCTTAAACATTCAAGCCACTTGTTGTCTTGGCCTTGTAATTGTTTTATAGAATAGCATGAGTTACGTATACTTGTCTTTTGTAGTCATGTAGTAGTTTTTCTGTTTTGTCTTTTTTTTGTGATATTTTGTTTTGATATTCAGTGTTGTACAGGATTTCGTTGAGTTCAGTAAATGATTTCGAGGCTCTAGAACGTGGATGTGATTTGATTTGGATATTCCAACAGTAGATTGCATTGCTAGGGTTATGCTGACTTGTTCTTCACTTACCTTTTCATTTTAGAGGACAAGAAAGCTCAATTAAGCGCTGATCCAAGAGGTTCAAGTGTTTATCGTATTGGGAGTTTATGGATTGGTTTAGCGTCTGTGTAGGAGGATCACTTCTTTTAGGAATTGTGGCTTTGGCATCTGGTTATCCTCGCGGTGTAAAGGTGTGTATGTAATCAAATCCAGCATGTTACCTACCTTATTTATAGCCATGATGGTCATGGAAGTAACCCAAACGGAGTAGTTTGTAGTATAAAGTAGTGCGGAAGTGATGCACGTTTTTATTTTCTTTTTGCTCCTCCGAGAGCTTCAGAATTGAAGAGCTAATTAGCCAATAGTGCATAATGTTTATTGATAATGGAAAGGTTAGTTTGGGCTAGGGAAGAGCATCTCAGCCACGATTTTAGGCTGCATATCCTGTTGGAGCGGTCAGCGATCTTTCGCGAAGTAGACATTAGTAATGCATTGGGAGACAACCTCAGGTTGTCATTCACCCATTTCTCAGTCACATAATTACAGGGTTTAGTAACCAGAACGAAAATAAAGATCGTCTTGCACCACCGTTTACATGCGAACCTAAATGCATTGCTTGAGTATGATTTCGCATAGACTAGAGGCGTAGAGTTGTGCAGCAAAGATTCGATATCATCTCTTCAATCCGCCTGCATTTTAGAGTGACTGCATGATCGCTGCTTTCGGTCCACATTTAAGCCGCTATTTTCGTCCTAGAGGAGTGCCTTGTAACATTTTGCAATACTAAAGAAAGGGGCGCGTGTAGCACAGTGGTCGGAGGCATCATGCTATACACATGGGATCGGTCCAGAGGCGCTACGATCATCAAACCTTCCATCTATCCGGGGTCAGCAAATTGGTACAAGTCTCTTGTCTGGGAGGATACAGCACTGGCTCGATACATCGTTAAGCCACCGCGAATCACTATAAATGCCAAATATGTATTCAGTCATCTCCAACGATGCTTAATCACGTCGAATGAACGGCGCATCCCTCAGGGTTTGATTAACCTCAAGAGCTAGAGCATTAAACAGAGACGGCGTGTATTGAGCAGTTCTGAATAGTTGGATTAGGTGTTGATGTGAGGTGTTAACATAGAATGTTTCTGTACTTTCTTGCTTTTGTAACTAGAAGGTTCTACAAGTGTGAGTTTTCGCTGACCCATGTGGATTTGAGACATTTCAATGTTATATGGATTTCCAAATTTTCACTTCTGAAATAGTTTTTTTTTGAAATCACTTTTAATTGTAGCAATAATAGTCGTTATTCAGGATTTCGCTTCGTTTGTCGAGTGGTTAAGAACGAACAGCGATGAATGGGATCATATGCAGAGTAAAGAGTTTCATGGGCATCAATCGCGTGGAGACCAAAGAAGGCGAAGAGATTCCACCAAAAAACATGACTGAAGTTATTCAGAGTTTACCGGTATGTTTTTTCATAAGATTTGCCTGTACTTTTCTTTCACTTGTATTTGAAAGAGAGGACCTCTACTCACTTTTTCTTGTTCCATTTAAGGAGTCCTATCATAAATATATGGGTGAGGAACTACCTTATCGACGAGCATCTGCTCTAACGTTTATCGCTATTGTGCTTGGCATGGGTACGCCTCTGTGGTATCACACAACAAGAACCTACAGAGCTCCGTTCGTTGTTTTTCCCAAAAGCCAGACGGTCTCGTTTAATGTTCAGTGAGTTTGTTCTATGCTATTTATTACTTAAGTAATCATTTATTTTGCAGTTTTCAGGATCCATCTTACTGTAACAGATGCAATCCTTGAGCCGGAATTAAATTCTATGTGTCAAAATCTTTCGTCAATGTTGTTGGAGGGCGAAGTTAAGCCACCACTTGACATTTGGTGGGAAGTATTAAATCAAGGAGTGAGGTATAGTTTGTCCTACTACTGATTCTTTTGGAAATCTTTTCTCTTGTAATAATAAGATGTTTGACTACGATTTGGTTCCTGAAGTGTTGTTTTTTCCTAGGAAATGTGATTTTTACTGGAATCTTAGCTTATCGGTCGTATTTTTGTTGGAATTTTAAAGCTTTGCTTGACAGTTTAGCTTTTTTAAAAAGAAGTTGATCTATACTATGGATATCCGCTTTTTTAAAGGCCACATAAGTTCCAGAGAGCTGCGTGCTCTGGAAAATGATCGCATGGAGCCATCCGATTTGCTCGCTGTACATGTTGCTGTTGTTCCACTTGAACAATGGTCCCATTTTTCTGCTGTCACAGTATTCCTTGATCGTGGTCGCTGGGCTTTCCTACAGTATACCGTAGACTCAAACAGGTTAATGGAAAGGCTTCAAAGTCTTGTTTGGGAGGTAGGATATTTTGCTAGTGCTTTCCTATTTCAACGCATTTTAATTAGCTAACTGATAGGAAATCGTTAACTTGATGCGATTGGAGGTGTGAATTCTTTCCTACTCCGAACTACTATTTGTGCCGACTTTCTGTTAACATCGACATTGATCAAATAATTCGCAGTATTCTTGATGAGCAAATACTAGGTTGTAACCTCATTCTTCATTGACGGAAAAGTTGACCTTTCGATGGAATTCGCCTTCATCAGAGCCTGGAAAGGTCAAGTTAACTGCAATCTACCCAGCAAAACACTTCCGTAACCAAATAGAGGAAGTAATAAACCAAGATTTCAATCACGTTGGGCACAGAATAGCTTCTCTGCACACTCACCGCTTTCTGTGAGACTTCCACTGAGTATGTCGCGTGGAGACTAACCGCACCGAATTCACATCCGACCAGAAGGGCATAAATGTCGTCAGAAGATTCTTGTTAGACATCTGCCATAACAAAGGTGTTTATATTTTCGAGAAACCTCATGTAATTTAACTGGATAAGAGAAAGTATAGGTAAATATGTACTCCAGAAGAAGGTGTCATTCCCTAAAAGTCTTTTTGAGCGTAGAGAGGACGGATCGAAATTAAAGGTGCTATATTATTAAGGTTTAGTATAAATAACAGCTTAGAAGATTTGAATAGCTGAGAAAAGACAATGTAGGCAACTCCAAGAAGTCGCTATCCAATCTGTGAAGGTAAAGCTTCGCCGTATTGGTTTGCGTGGACGAACCCTTGAGTTTATACCATGTAGTGATCACTGAACAACACTTCGGGCGATACCTTTTGAAGCACAGCCACTATAACAACGACCTTAAATGTACGTTAAACAAGCCTATCGCTAGCTCACATTAATCTACTGTGCTTGCGGATGGACAGGAATTTTATAGCGAAACGAAACTCATACGTTATTGTACATGAAACCGCTTTCCTTTTAAAGATCGTAGGAAATGAAACAAATGAAGGAAGAACTCAAGAAGACTTATAATAATTCTTTTTTTAACACGACGCGACATCACGTGTTGTGTGGATCTGAGAACTTCTGGCATTTTATTCGTTCCTTCACATCTGTCATGCACGAAAGTGTTTCGATTTTGAACGCGAATTCGGTTACTGCTTAAGCATTTTTCACATTCTTTATGAATGTCGTTGAATGGTGCTTTAGTTAACTTTCCATTTAATCGAATCGGATATTCAGGCTAGTGGGATCCCAGATCTTCATCACAGGCGCTCGACATCTTTTATGGATTGGAGAGACCTATGTGATGGCACGCGAGTCTGGCACAAATGCCCTGAGCTTGGAGGGAGAAGGGCAGAATGGGAGTAGGTGGTGTCGAACCAGCGCTTTGTTTGTACTAAGCGACATCATTACCATGGCACTATCTGCCTCATGAAATCATTCGGTCGGAAGGAATGAATAATTGACCACTTTATTCCATACTTTTTCTAGAAAGAGTAGTTTTGCGATAAATAATTTATAACCTCTATTTAAGTTCTTTATTTTAGGTGATGGTAGATGTTCCTCATATGAATGAGATTGTAAAGCGAGACATTCGAGAGAGGTTGCAACCTTGGCAGATCACAGCGCTTTCACCTTCACATCAGGTTTGCACATTAGTGCTTTAGTAATTTTTCATGATTTTGGGCGGAGCATGTATGTATTTTCGAGTAACTTTTTGGCAGTGGATTTTGAATGAGTTATGAATATGCTAAGAGTTTGGAAAAGGACTACAACGCTATTGTGGAAGAAGTAGAAGTCTCTACATGGGTTAGTGTGGCGTAGAGCAGCATAGGAAAAAAGTGATTTAGAATAACCATGCACTGGCTGACTTGAATGATAAAAAATAAAAAGGTAAAGCTTTCGGCGTTGATCAATCCCTAAGAGATGCGCTGCGCATTCGACTTGATTAAGCATTGTTGGAGGTGATTGAATGCATATCTGGTGTTTACAGTGATTCGCAGTGGCTTACCGATGTATCGAGCTAGTGCTGCTGTCCTCCCAGACAAGTTTGGTACCAATTTGCCTACTCCGAAGGGATGGAATATTTGGTGGGCGTTGGTCTCGGGGATCGATCCCGTGTGTATTGCAATATGCCTCCGAACACTGCACCACACGCACCCCTTGAATAAGGACTGGTAATCCTGTGTGTGTGGTGATTGTGATGAGGGGGAGAATGATAATTTAATGTAAAAGGTAGAGGAAAATGGTCGTCGCAATACAAAACCAGAAAGAGCTGAGTGTGACGCTGCAAAGTAATCATTTCATTAGACATATTTGTTTGGTAATTTATTTAATCCATAGAGAACTATCTATGATTTATTTAGTTAAGGTAGTCTAGTCTAATTTACTTTATTATTTATTTTTTTCCAACGATGCTGAGATATTTGCAAAACTCCGGACCGCAGGTGTCTGCGGTGGGGAACGAACGCGCTATTGTCCTTTCCGGAGAGTAACGCGTTCACCACCACACCATGCGGGTCCTTCATTTCGTCTGTCTCTCAGCTGGTTCTATCGATCTCTGCCATCAGCAATCACCCGTCAACGGGATTGATCTGGGTCCACGCAGACACCTGCGGTCCGGAGTTTTGTGGATATCTCAGCATCATTGGAGTTATATTTCGCAGTATACCCTGCCATTAAAAAGAATAGGCAGTAAATAAAACGGTTAGGATTACTTTTTTTTAAACGCAATTAAAACAGTGGTATTTCTACGTTTTAACACAACAAAGCTTGGTAGAATAAGGACTATTAGCTTTATGGGTTTGTTGTTTAGAAACGTCTTGTGTGGGATTCAGCACCTCTTTCCATGAACTACATTGTGCAAGTGATCCATGTGCACGACAATGCTTCTCCATCTGATACATATTCGAAGGATATCGTTAACGTGCTTGAAGTTTTCGTAAGGCGTCTTCAACATATCACTCGTATTCAGGTTGGAGAACACTTTTATTATGACTTTCGTTTTCGATACATTAACGAAGTAAGCCCTCCCAATGGTTTACTACCTCATCGTGGATGGAAGGTATTACTGGGTATTGGACTACGGGCGTCTCGTACAATGCGAGGATTCGTCCCACCAGCAGGGTCTCGCAAGCTGAGAAGGGGTCCGGTGTTTCCACCAGGAAGACCAGCTAATGGTAAGCCAATACCAGGATCCACCACCGTCCTGGTATCAAACTTGTCGCACGGTGGCAAATCTGATCCCTATGATCCACAAGGGCGGCGATTGCCTGTGGTGGTGACGACCTGCGATAGACGTTGGCTAGTGTGACCTCGGGACTCCAGGGAGACGCAATAGCTAAACGAAAAAACTCCGGAAAATGGAAATTATTCTGAGGACCGCACCACCAATAAAGACGGGTTATCCAAGTGTCCAAGTAATGAAGCAAGTGGCCATTGTTTTTACATACTCAAGCATTTTGCATTTGTTATTCATCTCTTTAATCCTTGTACTTTCCACATTATCTCTGGCTTAAAAAATGTTCAATTATTTTGATTGGTTTCTCCTTGGGTTTCAGAGTAAGCGTTTCTTATTTATCTCTTCAGTTTCTTCACGGCATGGTTTTAGGTGTGATCATGTCGATGGATTATAACCACTCTATAAATACATATATATATATATATATATATACATTAAGCTTTAAGCTCAGCTCCGAACATTTGTGGGACTTTGAGATTTCGAATTTTCTCGATGCAGATGTCCAGGACAGATCAACTCTCTCGCAGCAAGAAACGGAACGTTTACTAAAGGAGGTGACTTTTTGAAATTTCTGGTTTATAAAAAAGATCTAAGAATTGTGTGAGTGCTAAATGGGGCAGACCGTCAAAAAACATTGCAGGATAATGGGGTTGAGTTCATTTCCAGATGAACAATTCCTCTGCCGAATGAAAAAATGCCTATGAAGGGAGCCGCAGGTAGTTTTCTAGAATTCGATTCGTGGCGAGGGAACGGCCGATTTGAAACAGCAACTTTCAAAACTTGTTGCTCATAATAAAAGCCGTTAGGAACTAGCCATTTTGTTTGCAAGATACAAGTTTGTCTATTCCGATTGCAGAGAAGGCCAAAGTTTTACGAGCTTATCGAAGAGATATTCCGCGTTGGTTTTCATATCGTCGATTTTCCTAGCTAGAATATGTCGAGATGATTGAAAAAGTGACATTTGAATAGCAAGTTGTTTCATGAGCTTGTTGGACGAAAGAGGGTTATCCAGTTCAACTTGCCGAACTTTTGCAACGTAAGTTGTGCAACATGCGGTGAAGTGATGTCGGGCAAAAGTGGGCGTGCATTTTGCAATGTTTTTTGGATATGTTTCGATTTCTGAAGAATTTCATTGACTTTGCTTATGTCGCAGTGGTCGGAGGCGCTCTGCGATACACATGGGATCGACCCCCGTGCTCAAGGCTCACCAAGCCTTCCATCCCTCCGCGGTCGGCAGATTTGTACCAGAGTTGTCTGGGAGGGTAGCAGTACTGGTTAGATACATCGGTAGGCTACTGCGAGTCATTGTAACGGCTAGATATGCATTCAATCACCTCCAACGATCCTTAGTTAAGTCGAATGCAAGGCGCATCGTTCAGGGATTGATCAACACCAAGAACTTTGCCCTTTTTCTATCCATCGACTTCATGACATTACTTTTTTGTTGTAACTACCTCTCAGAATTGAAGACGTTTTCTTACATGATTTCTTCTTCCAATGATGAAAAGTTAGTCATAACCATCTTGTGGTGCAAAGGTGGTTCTGGAAAATGCTTAACAAAGTGTTTGGCTGAGTAGATCGCATCTCAATTTGACCTTTCCAGGCTCTGAAGAAGGCGAAACCGCCGAAACGTCAGCAATTGTGTTCTAATAAATTCTATATTAACAACCTCGTGTCTGCTTATTGATGAAAAACATTGAATGCTTAACAGTTTAATGCCAGCCCAGCTTCTGTACTAAACGTGGTTTTCTGTTGAATACGGTTCGTCTTACAGCGTTGTTTAAAATCCCATCGAGAACTGGGTCTTTCTTGTTGTGTGAGAGAGACGTGGAATAAACTGATGAGGATATCGATGCCATTCGCTGAGTTCATGCTGGACTCCTTTGTTGAGCTCTCTCATCCTTCCTTATTTTGTCTTCCAAATGACGAACTAGTCTGAATTGTTGTTTTGTTTAAGTGATAAATTTTTCCTGGAACTCTTCAAATAATTTTTAGAGCGGCAACTTCCTTTTTGGCTTCAGGTGGTGGTCGTCGGCGTTTACGAATTTTACCTTGTAAGGGCTCATGTTGTCGTTATCATTGCTTGCCAGTCTTTTCTACATTATGTGTTTAAAAGACCTGTCCTGACCTATGCCTTGATAATAATGTTTTGCGTCCGAGTTTTAACTGCTGCGACAGATGATGGGTTTTCCAGAATTTGCATTTGAATCGTTATAACCAGAACAAAACCGTCTCAAATTGCGCGTTATAGAGGTTTTGCATGACACATTATTGGGTGAATAACGTATAAAGTGACATACAACAACGAGATCGGCGGTAAATTTTTGTTACAAAATCTATTCAAGATCCATTAGGAAAAAATCAGCAGTCATTTTCGCACCAACACCAATCTCAACGCCAACCCAATCATGATACACATCTATTCTTCTACTCAAGTTTCTTTAAAATGGGAAACTCGGAATGATATGATTCGGATACATTACGACTACCATGTTATCTGTAATTGATCTCTAAAACAGCAGATGTCCAATATTTTTCTAGATCGATTCTCAATTGCAATCTGTTGAGTCATCATATCCTGTGCTAAAAATCGTGATTATGGAGGTGGATGCACCTGTTATCATGTTGGATCCATTTGTGAGATTTATTTCTATTGGCTTATAGTGGTTTTTTAAAGTTTCCAAACCATAGTTCACGTGTGGGCTCACTTCATTTTAGGGCGAAGACAGCCGTGGAGTGGCTGTTGCGTCTTGGGGAGCCATAATTCCACGGATTTGCGTCGGCGAAACTTCAGAAGATCCACAGACGGCTGCAAGGATCTTGTCAGCTTTAAGAGTGTTACTAGGTGTGGATAGCGACTTACCAGCGTCGTGGAAACGGGCTCCCGTGCCTCTTGCAGACTGGGAAATCGAGAGAATGCGCCTTCGAGCCATTCTTGATAATGCGATGCGGGCAATATCTGCTGTAAGTGCTTTAAAGGTACGCTAATAGATTTTTAATTCATTTATTTATTAGCCCACAGCTAGTGCACTGTGTGGAATCTGATCTGAAAAATTCATTCAATGCTCAAATCGGTTGAGAGTGAACAGCACTCAGAGTAAAGAAGGAATCTAATTGGTTCTTTATGGTTGAGAAAACATTATTATTATTATACAGTTTAATGGGAGAACTGATTAACCAATAGTAAACAAAATTAAATCACTATGATTAGGAGGTTACAGTTACTTAAGAAGAGGTGTGTAGAGTCTTGCTTTCTACACATTATCCTCCTGATGAAGAAAATTTGAAATGGAACGGAAACGGTGTACTGTTTGAAATAATAAAATCCGCTTTGAGTTACGTTTCTGAAAAACTTTTTTTGTTGCTGTAAGTGTTTCATAACTCTATATACGAAATTTAAAGCTTCTATTATTGTAGCTTCTGCTGTCATTACGTTACCATTGACAAAAAGCAATAGCACCCAAGATGAGATAGAAATATTTCGAAAGCGGAAAGCAGGAAATTGTTGTCTTTTACTCTTTTTAGTTATTGATATTCCATTTTCTTACAATTTTTACATTCGTTGGTTTATGCTAAGTTCAACCGTGTCTAAGGGTCGCTTGTGGTCAGAGGCGCTATGCAAGATCCCCTCCGATCCCCGCGCCCCTGGCTTACCAAGTCTTCCCTCGCCAAGATCTTTACCCTTTTATCCTTTATTACAGCTGTCTTAGGTCCACCATAGTCGCCCTATATATTCATGTTGCTTCGTCACAGTGTTACATTGTTATAGGCCTTAACAGAGAAAATCACAAACGTCGTTATCAACGACGATGTAGCCGCTCGAGCGAATGAAGCCGTTCACTTGGTGCAAGCAGGTTTGGAAAGTCCTGGTGCGCCACAATTGAACAAAGTAAGTAGAACTATAGTCTGTTACTTGACAATAAATGTTAGTGCTACAATGATTTCAATCAACTCTTGTTTATTTCTACACATTTTGGTCCGGTTCTTAGCTACGCAATAGTTCAAAGCTATGAATGTCAGGGATAATATTGCTATTTACTCACCATCTTTTTTAATCGAGTTGAATTTAAAGTGAGGTATTCCCGGTGCTGTGTGCGGATAGCATACCGATAGTGATGTCTGTCATCACGAGCGCTACTTCGATTCCGTTCTCGGCCAACCAAGCCTCTCATCCCTCCGGGGTCGTGAAATTGGTGTCAGACTTCTCTTAGAAAAAAGACCCACTCTCTGCAATCCAATTGGGAACGCTCCAGCTCGGCTGTCTCAAGACTCCAGGGAAAATTGCTCGACCAGCATTCTAGGGCATTCAAGATGATGTGAAAATCCTCAAGCAGCAACCGAAGCCAGACGTGAAAGCTGGAAGATCTTGGTGGATAATGGGTACGAGGAAACGAATCAAATGTGAGAAGTGCATGGATCCGCGTAGTAGGCGTGAATACGGGTAGTATAAAAATAAAAATTCTTGGTGCTAAATACACTTCGATTTCTAAACTCCTTTTTCACACTACCTACAAGAACAATTTGTTCTATCGTATCATCTCTAACAGCAATTTCATTCAGATTTCTGCTGGTCGATTCTTAGCCGACGAGGCGCTGTCGCATCCGTCATTGTTGTCATTGCTGTACTTTCCGAAGGATCAAACAATGGCTGTGTACCTTCCAATCATGTTGCCGACTCTGATTCCATTGTTTGGATCAGCTTTAGCACTCTGTAAGTGGGCACTAGGATGGTCTTAGGCTTCGAAGTCTGGCGCTGGACTTGGCGCGTCAACATCTCTTTCTTCCAATTGTTGCTCATGTTTTTGTTTCTTTTGTTTCTGAGCTTTCGTTCTGAACCAATCTGCTAACATTTGAAGAGTTAAACCTCATTTCATGCTTTATAAATCATGGGCTGAATATAATATGCGTGATTCTTTGTATGTGTTTCCTAATTTGTACGTATGGTATTCTTGAACTTTCGGAATGAAATTTCTTACGCAGTATTTTAAGGGATGTTTCATCTCAAAAATTGTGCATCTTCAGAGCGTCACAGCTGGTATGTGGTGAAATAAAAAGTGTGGGGTCAATTATATGAGTGACTCGAGCGGGTACCAGTAAATCTTCCATTTTTCCCTATGGCGTGCAAGAGTGGCCCAGTGAGTTCTGCTCGCTCTAGGGACTCGTTGGTATCACATCTTTCTTCTACGCTTTTCGCGAAGAACTATGACCATTGGGTCGGTGACATTCCTGCAGTGCGTTTGACATCCGGAGAAATCCCATCGTTAACGGCTCTTATCCATCGGTTGTCGTTCATGCGCATTATGTGTTCCGTCCATTCTATCTTCAACAGTTTGGCTCATGAAAGGACATCTTTGATTTTTGGTTGTTGACGCAGCTAAGTGTTTCGGATCCTTTCCCTCACTCGTGTAACTCGGAATCTTCCTAGCATCGTTCTTCCGACTGCGCGTTCAATAACGCTGAATGGTCCTTCATCCTGCTTGCGCAGCGACCAGGTTTTTTAAGCATACGTTAAGGCGAAGAAAATCGTGGAGTCGAAAAGGTGGGCAAAGAGTCGGATATTCCTTGTTCTTTTCACTACATCGTCGATGCTCTTGAAAGCTCCCAAGCCGCTTGTTTCCTTCTGCTCAACTCCGGAGCTAAGTCGTTCATCATGTTGATTTCCCGACCTAAATAGACTAGAATAGCTAGAGCCTTCGGAGATATTCGTTCCCTTGAGCGTGAATGGGGCTTATGAGACCAATCCGTTTTTCATGTACATCGCTTTTGTGAGATTTAGTTGATGACCATTTTTTCCACAAGCTTTATCAAACTCGGCAAGCATACATTACGCTTGGGCTAATGTTTGGTGTTATAAGTTATCAACAAAGCGAACATGGTGTAATTGCCGACCATCGATTTTCACTCCCATGCTATCCCATTCCAGTGTTCGCATGACGTTCGGGAGAGTGGCTGTAAATAATTTTGGTGAGATGGTACGCCCTGCCTAACTTCTCTTTTGACGTTGATGTTAATATCACCGCAAAGCGGTGATGTCTTGGTTGTGAAATTTTTATGTAGTTCACAAAGAATCTTTATGTAGTGAGTGGGAATGCTCTGGCTGTCCAAAGCTTCCATGACTGCTTCTATCTTAACTGAGTGAAAAGCCTTCTTTAAATCGATAAATGTGAGACAGAGCGGTCTCTCGCACTCGCGGTGCTTTAATGAGTCTTGCTATCGTGTGGACGTGGTCCATCGTACTAAATCCTTTTCGAAACACTGCTTGCCCACATAGTTGCCCTTCGTTCAGTGTTCTGTCAATGCTGTTAAGACTGATGTGAAAAGTTTGTAGACGACGCACAGCCAGCAGATTTGGCGATTGCAGCGGATGTTGCGGAACTCACCTTCCCTGAACAATGTCGTTGTTGTTGGCATTGTTGGTCGATAGCTAACGTTTCGGCGACTTCGCCTTCCTCAGAGCCGTGATGTTACGAATGGGACTGAGAGTAAGTCGTCAGGGAGTGAGACTCGTTTATTTTACTATGATTACTGATTGATATCCACGTATAACTTGCTGAGCTGTGAATCTGGAGGCTGGGTATACCTACAGGTAGCTTGCCAGTCTCTCTCAGAGTAGACGTAGAGCTTATTTGCTGGAGGCGCCTTCTAATAACCTCCCATGTGCTTCTCTGTTATTCAGTTGCAGGCTTTTAACCGAATTGACCCGTTGAATGAAGACCGAATAAACGAGAACACATCCACGCACGCACGCATGAACACGTCTTCGTAAATATTTTATATTTCTGGAGCAGGGTGTTCATCCACTGGATCCACCTGCATCTTAGCGAAGCAAAGGTCGCTTTTGGTCCGCTATTGACCCTCTATCCGCCAGCTGCGGAGGGCCACGTTGCTTCCGAGTACCGGCATGAAATCCCTCTTTGAAGAAGATCCGTGGGAGAAGATGAAAACAACGTAGAACGAAAAAACACGGTTGAAGTTTAGCTAGCCAGCTCTACTAGAAAGTCGAATTCTGGAAGGACTTACAGCAATACATAGGTTTTGAACGAATAATATTTGACTATTTTTTATTATTTTATTATTTTATTTGACACGTCTCCACGTCTACTGTGCGGATCCATTACTTCTCACATTGAATTCGTCTCCATGCATCCATTGTCCACGAAGATCTTCCAACCTTACGTGCAGCTTCGGCTGCTGCTGGAGGATTTTCGTTTCAACTTGAATGTCGCTTAATCCAGGTCGAGTAATTCTTCCTGGGCTCCTGAGATAGCCGGGTTGGAGCGTTCCCACTTGTACTGCAGAGAGTGAATTTTTTCCAGACAAATCCGGTACCAATTTCAAGAGAATGAGAGGCTTGGTTGTCCCGGAGCAGAATCGAACTAGCACCGTGCTCATTATGACGGACATCATTACTAGTGTGCTATCTGCCCCCTATTAACGTAACTAATAACTAAAAAAAGAGGACCGAATAGCACTGTGGACATGGTGCCGATAGTCACGAGCACGATGCTGCTTCGATCCCGCCCAGGCTCATCAACCCTCTTATCCCTCCTAGATTCGGAAATTGCTACCGGGTAGCACCATGCTCATGATGATGGGCATCACTATCGTTGTGCTATCCGACCCGTATACATGACTATATGTTGTTTAATTATCTATTTTGTATGGGCTATTTATCTTCATGTTAACCTTTTATTCTTTGCCTGCCATAATTTTTCACGCAGGGTATGATGTGAAGTTAGAAAGGTAAACTAGGAATTGCCAAGTTTTGCGAAAACCTCAGCCTCGTTGTGGTTGTATTTCACATCATACCCTGCCGTAAAAAATTATGGTAGGCAGCAAATAGAAGGTTAGCATTGCGATTTCGCCTACGGCCTCTATTTAACTAGGTTCAATGACGATTTGTGTCTCCTAGAATAATCTTGCTGACGGGTGATTGCTGATGGCAGCGCTAGGTAGAAAACTAGCTGAGAGAAACGCAGAGCCAGAGCCATTTGATCTGGCCCCGGGTCCAAGTTTTGCGAATATCTCAACATCGTTGTGGCTGTGTTTCTCTTTATTTTAATGTCACGTGACGGTTAGTAATGTGTTCTGTATTTCGACTCATTTTCTCTGGAATAGCTGTCCTAAGTTCTAACAGTGATAATGAATCGTCCTTTCTTTAGTCTAAGTCTTTAGTTCACTAAGCTCATATTTAGGAGCATTTTAATATCGAACTGCTAATCGACCATAATAGTTGGGATTAAGAGAAAGTTGTCGGCTGATTGCTGATAGCACCTATAAAGCAAGGCTGAAAGGCGAAATGTAGGACACGCATAGTGTGGCAGTGAACACGTAAGCGTGAATAACAGGCAGTTAGAAGAGAAAGTATTTCAGATGATTATAGGTGATCGACATTGATCCATCTCTTTAGAGGACTCGCCATGCTTAGGTCAATCGATTCCATTACACATCATAGCGGTGAAATTAATGCATATTTGGCCCAAATGATGACCTGTAGAGGCCGATCAACATTTTTATCTCGTTGATACAAGTTCGGTACCAGTTCACCAGCCTCGGATTTGTGAAAGGCCTGGTTAGACCCAAGAGTGGGATCGAGCCAATGATAACCAGTGCATTGAGGCCCATCTTTAATCACTGCGCGCACTTCCTTTGTTCAGCACAAGTCATTGAAAACGCGACGAATACATCAGCGGTTGCGTACACCTGTTCCATTACGAAGCACAACCTCTTTTGTGGCTCTAAATGTGATCCAATATTTTTTTGATACCAGTTTTGCTATTTGTATTTTCGAGTTTAGCCCGAAATTATAATAGATTTCTCCTAAAATTCGATACGGTTACTGATCATGAGACTGTGATGGTGCTGTGCTTGGCCCCGATGTAGCTACGATTTTTTCCTATCATAGCTGTGTTTTATCACTACTCTTTCGGCATGCGTCGCCTCTCCTCCTGTCTGGAATCCTTCGCTTTATGGCCGTCGTTGCTATTTCCACGCCATCGGCGTTAATTGCTTCTGGTTTTTATTGCGGTCATCAACTACACATCACTTTCTGTTTCACTGTGATGTTTTGTTTTCTTATGAATAATGAAAAACTAGTGGTAAAATGTAACTAGTAGGAGTTTCTTCTCTTCGTCAAATTGCATCTTTTGTGATACCCAAATGGTGGCCCTTCAACGAAAAAGAAGAATGTCCTAGCGTAATATGAACAAGGAAAAAAAGAACGAATTGGAAATTTGAACGATATGAAACGATAAAGTGCCTAAGAGAATGAATTGTGAACGATGGGTAGCACTGAAAAATACGATAAACCTCTGGGATTAATGACAGCTTTAGGTGGTAATGAGCATTGATGATGATTCTAAGCTGGCCGATGATGCCTTAGTGATGTTGAAGTACAGCATGGTTATAATTGTGTAGAGAGCATTCAATCTCACGGAGCACAACGATTTTAAGTTGCGTTCGGAGCGTTCGAAGTGTTTAAGCTGGGATTGCAATAAGGAAGTAAGGAGGTATTATAAAGCAGAAATACGCAGGATTAAAAAAACTCGGTTTGTGTCAACTTTCAGACATCTCGTAAAGGGTTTTACCTGGAATATCCTAACGGATAGTGGGAAAGGTGTTAGAGTTATGGTGTCATTTTTTCACTAGCAAACTTATACTGTCGTCAGTCTTGACGAATTGTGATCCCTTTGAAGTACCTGGAAGACTCGCTCTCTTATTTCATCTCTTAACCATTC